ATATGATATAAATCACTATATATATATATATATATATATATATATATATATATATATATATAATTTTGAAGTGGAAACATACATGTATCTAATACATGTGTACATGAATTATTATAATTATTATTACTAATAATTAATATTTAATAAAATGAGGACAATATAATTAAAATGTATTTAAAAATAGTTACAAAATAGTTTTTTTTCTTCTTCTTTGGAATACAAAAATCTACATTTATGCATTTCTGAGCTGCTCTTTTCTATTATAAAATCATATCCAATATAATCATGTAGGGATTCTTACATTAGTCTATACGACTTGTGGGCCATATTGTTTTCTAAAGTCAAGCGAGTTTGTAATGACATGAGGGTGATTAAATCACAGAATTATGTATAATAACTTTTTTTTAAGTGATTCAACATGCAGATCAATATTGAGTCAATTTTAGGAAGCATAATAGTCAAAAGAAGCTTATAACTGTACCTTTTAGTCTTCGGTTTATTTTCCATGAGCTGCATTTTGGCACACGTTTGTCTCATGGTCTCTTCTGAACGCTTTAACATGGTCATGTTCACACCCAACACCATAATTACACACACGAGACACAACAGTAACCAGGAACTTGGACACGCTTCAGTAACTGGTCAAGGTGACGTTTGACAGCAGCCTTCCCACTGCCAACAGCTGATACCTGAACAAAACTTACCAAAAACATTACTGTATATAGCTGCTCTTAATGTATGTAATGCATTTTATTTCTTCTGCAGAGTGTGAGGAGAAACATCTAAGGCAAAGAGAACTCCATTAAACTTTTTAGCTTTGAAATGGTAGTATTTGAAATCGTCCTCTGGCAGTTTCTCTTTAGTCACGCTGAAGTCAAGTGCTTGAAGATACTGAAAGGAACAGATAGAAGCATGACGAGTGGAAGGAAACTGCGGGCTTCCCTGAGGCTGTTTGATCCATCTGGTCACTCAGGCATGCATGTACTTCCCTTCTCCAAGTCTCCATGAGGAAAGCCCAGAGCAGAGCTGCTTTCTGCCAGCGAAGGCTCAGATGCTTGAGTCAGGGAACAGCTGCTGCTGATGGCAGCGAAAAATGAAAGCGGCGTGGAATAGAATTAATTTGCTTTTACAGTCGTTGCACACTTACTTACAAACCAAATAGTAAATGAATATTGCTGTGGAGACACTGACATATGTGTTTCTGCCAGAGACAATAGTGATTATGTCTGCGGGTGTGCAGAGTACATTTGGTAAAAGTGTTGCGTCTTGGATTGGGACAAGTCTGGGCTTGGTTTTCATTTTTCCATTCCAGGCTTCTGGAGTATTCATGTCCACATTAATGGACTTCAGTGGTCCAGGGAGAAATCTGATGGAGAAACTGAATGGACTTGGAAAAACTGTCAGATATCAATTATCTCTCAAAATGATCTTTCACAGGCGCTTAATGGGTGAGTTTTTCCTAAGCCAAGCAAAAGTAGTGCTAAGTTGGCCAAATTCACAAATTCATCAACTTCAAGGTACAGCTAATGCTTTTGATTCACCAAAAAGAATCTGTTCATAAGAGTCTTTTGTGTGTGAATCAGGTTACGTTGTTTGCACTGTTTTGAATCACTAAAAAGAATCTGTTCATAATAGTCATTAATTTGTGAATCAGGCTACACTGTTTGCACTGTATGCTTTGATTCACTAATAATAACACGTTCATAAGTCATTTGTGTGTTAATTGGGCTTTATTGGTTGTGCTGTATGCTTTTGATTTCACTAAAAAGAACCTGTTCATGAGAGTCATTAATTTGTGAATCAGGCTACATTGTTTGCACTGTATGCTTTTGATTCACTAAAAATAACCTATTCATAAGTCATTTGTTTGTGAATCAGGCTATATTGTTTGCGCTGTATGCTTTTGATTTCACTAAAAATAACCTGTTCATGAGTCATCTGTTTGTGAATTGTACTACATAGGATGCGCTTTGTTTTCGTATCACTAAAAAGAACTAGTTAATACAAGCAATTTATTTGTGAATCAGGCTACACTTGTGCTGTATGTATTTCATTCACTAAAAAGAACCTGTTGCAAGAGTCATTTGTTTGTGATTGTATTATATGTTTTTAACTTACAAAAAGAACCGGTTTGAAGACACCAGAATTAACCCTAAAGCACACCATATATTTCACATTTAATCAACTCCTCTAATAAATGAAGTAATAATTTTATGGCACAGAGTTATTTAAAGAGCTCTTTAATGTTTCATGTGATCAAGCTGTGATGGTAACCCAGTTTAGGATCCAACATACCGAACGGTTTGCTTATTTTCCCTTGAGAGAGAATAAAAACACACACCACAAGACTTTTCAATCATCTTTTCAATAATTTTCTTTACAGCTATTCCAAGAATACATAGATAAATCCTAGACATTAAATTCACTACCGTACTGTAAAAACATAGCTTTAAATCAGGTTGCAATTTATTACATTTTCTGATATTAGTGCACGGCTTTCAAAATCAAAACAATACACTCATTTCATATTCAAAGGCAACAGGTAAATTCTTTTGATTTATGCACTATAATAACATGTAAACAATTCTGGAATGTCAGCATCTTCTTCAATATATGATTTTTGCATAAAGATGCAGCTTCAGTAACCTGAATGGAATAGCACAAAGATGAATTCAGTCCAGTGCAAGAAATGCATTCATTCAGAGTGCATTTATATTTATTTATACACTAATCGAATGGTTTTTGCAGCGAGGCAGCTCTGATAAGAGGTAAACCGCATTTGCATTGATCTGCAAAAGGACAGGACATATGAATCGCAAACATCACATGGATAAAATCCTCACTAGAAAGGTCAGATGATGCAATAAAGCCATAATGTGTGCATCTTCATTTTCCAGGAATTGCATTCTTTTGCTTTTCCATCTCATGTGTTGTATTTATATCAACAAAAATGAAAAATAGTTCTCAGTATAAAAGATTTGGCAATATCATTTCCCCCCATTATCAAAAGAATTCAAACGTGGGCCAAGCGTACTGATGACAGAGACAATTCTCCTTTCATTTCGATCTCTCTGGTTGAGTTGGTGCATGCTGGGAGATGTTTGTACAGGGTGACTGTCCCTCTCTTTGGCGCCTCAGTCTCTAAATATGAATCTTATTGGCTTCTGCAGGAATAAAAGCGTCTTTGGTGGTCCCGTTCAGATAAAAGCACCATGAGAGATTAGGAAAAGTCAACCTTTCCATTTCCTTCAGCGTCTGTCCTTTGAGAATGCAAGAACGACTCCCATACAGCCAAACACTGCAAGAGAACATATACACAAGCAATGTCATAAATAAAACACATGTAATAAATAATTTAAATAAAAAATACTACATTTAATTTATATCATTCTAAATATATAAATGATACAATATATACTAATTTTAAAATACATAATCTAAATTGTAATATATATATATATATATAATATTTAAATAATTGTATATAGTAAATATACTAATAATAACTACTATAATTATGAAAATATACATTATAATAATATAAAAATATTACAAATTAATCAGAACAGATGTCAATATTCAATAAATAACACACCAATGTTCAATAATTAAAATATTAATATGCAAGCATTATAAATAATTAAAATAAGAGAAAATATATTATAAATATATATATAAAAAAATCAATATACAAATATTATAAATATTTATACATTAAATATAAAATATAAATAGTATAATTATTAATATATAAATTATAATAATAATTCAATAATTATAATATGAATTTACACACACACATATATATATATATACTGTATATGAAATGTATTATATTAATTATGTTTCTATATAGTAAAATATATTTATATCAAATTATTATTACCAAGTTGTTAATAATCATCACTAGATTTTTATTTTATTAAATGTATTTTCCCAAGCAAATGTGAGTGCAACACGATCCATATACACCCATTTATTAATTGATACTCAATTGAACCCTTCATTTTTTTTTTTTTTTTTTTTTTTTTACATTCTCACATCAGTAAAAGCTCTTGACTGCAGTGAAATATGTAGACATTTAAACAGCATTGAGGCCTGACAAGTGGCTGCCATTTGGTTTCCAATTGTATTCACAAGCTGCGGTCGCTCCTCATCCCGAGTGCCATTTAGGTGTCAAGATTCTAAGCCCTTGATAAATGTCCTCACCGGGACTCGTCAGTCGCCGCCCAGGCCCCTAAACACCTCAACACCCTCGGCCCAAACCGCTCTGATGCCGCTCGCGAGCGTGTTTCCTAGCAGAACCTCTGGAGGAGTGTTGGCTGCGGCTGACCGACTGTCAAAAGCAGTTAATCAATGCACTCCATCACCACAGGATTCAGACGTGACGTGACCTCGGTAAATGACTTTGGACAGGCCATGTGTGAGGCCGCTGGACCACAGTCGCCCTCCAAATCACACTAGGACACGGCTATATTTGTCTCGGTACCAAACAGTAGAGTTTAGGGAAACAGTCGACAGCTGTGTCACTCAAGTTCAAGATATTGATTAAGATGCAGCAGTTGCTCAGGACTTTAGTGTGCCATTCACTTTCATTCATATAAATGCAGGATTGGAATGAAAGCATATGCATAGAATGAGCATATTTTGCTTGCTAAAGTTAGAAGAAATCCAAACTGTGAATTGTTGAATGCAAATAATAGTGATTTTATCATGGTGTAGGGGTAGTAAGCATGACACTAAGCTGAACTGCTTTAAAACCACAATCAACGTTCAATAAATTAAAATAATATTGATTATATAACTAGCATAATTATGAAAGGAGAATGTTTTATATATATATATATATATATATATATATATATATATATATATGTAAATAATTATTAATTCTAAAGTTAGTTGGGCAATTCTGTTGGGGAGCGAATCAGCATAGAAAATAAAAATAAACTTGTTATTGTTTGGTTTTCTTGACACAAAATTGCTCCGGTTTCTAATGCAATATTGGTTTCTTGAGATAACAGGAATGAGCATTGCGTTGAATCATGCTTAGGGGGGAACTCCATTCTCTTCCGAATGCTAACACTAATATGAATACTAATACTGAAGTTTGGTAAGCCACCCCCTCGAACGGGAATCTCAAGAAGGGTCTGTGTTGAGGGGGTATTTGGATATGAATGTAAGGATCTTTAAAATCCACTGATATGAACTAGTCCTCTGGGCAAAACTACACACAGATCTGTTTCAAAGTCAGCATCCTGAATGGATCTCAGGGGCCTGAGCCCACCATCTTTCTTTGGGATGAGGAAATAACTGCTGTTAAAGCCTTCCTCACTGTTCTCTGGCGGGACCGTTTCGACGGCTTCTTTCACCAGAAAACACTGCACGTCGGAACAGCGAACGTGAGCATCGTTGTCCTGAAACGAATTGTCTGTAGAACCCAACTTGATGTGCCCAGGATGGCTTTCCAGCTGGGTGGGAAGGGGAGGACATTTTTCAGATGACAGGTTGCTACACAGAGGCAGGGAACTGACCATCGCAATGTATCGAAGAGGAGAAGTGCTCTTTATAGCCAGTGGGTCCGCTATCCCAGTGGTAGTTGGTGCTTGGGCACATGCAAAGTGAGTGGGATGGGCTCGGTGTTGACACAATGAACAAAGCCTCCAGCACCCAGAGCTGAATGGGGGATTGGAAGGCAAATGTGAGAATTCTTCGAGGGAAGTCCGGCCTCGGCGGGACTTAGCCTTCTCCTCTTCTCTCCTGACAGATCAATACGGCTTCTGCGGCTCAGGTCCCAATGTCCCTTTGGGGCAAGGGCACTGGGGCTTTGTAGGCTGAGGGTGCTGTCCAAGCTCAGGTTCGGGCTTGGACTGAGGCTGAGCAGGCAACATAGCAGACTTCACAGGCTGAGTTGACAGAGCCTTGTGGTGACTTGAAACAGCCGCTGAGCTGGAGCGCTTAGTCGAGAAGTGGTGCATGGCTTGCGACGACTTAAGCGTTCCACGAAACCATCAACAGTGGGTCCAAACAGCCTGGTCACGGAGACTGGGGAGTCGAGGAAGGCAGTCCTGTCTGCATTCTTGATCTCGGTCAGGTTTAACCAGAGGTGGCGCTCAAGCATCACCAAACCGGCCATTGACCTACTGATCGCCTGGGCTGTGGTCTTTGTGGCGCACAGGGCCAGGTCAGTTGCATATATATATATATATATATATATATATACTTATATTAATATATAAATATTGTAATGACATTATAATTAATAAAATAACATTCAATGAGTAACATATCAACATTTAATTAAAATATATTTTATATAAATATTATAAATAAATTAAATAATTAAAATAATATAAAATATAGAGTATAATTATGAAACTATAAATTATATAATATTTTAATATATCATTATATTACAAAATTCATTGTAATTAATAACAGACACTAATGCTCAATTTATAGTATTATTAGCATAATTATACAAATAAAGAAAAGATAACTTATATGTATATTATACATATTAAATAGTAAATATAGTAGATATGAAATATAATTAAGAAATATAAAGTATTATATCAATATTATAATTAAATTATAATTAACAAGACATCCAATAATTAAAATATATTAATATATAACCATTATAAATAAATTATTTTAATTATAAATATATATTATGATTAGTATAATTAAGAAATGTATTATTATATTAATGCACGAATTTTATAATTAAATTAGAATTAAAAACAGACATCAATGTTCAATAAATTAATAAACAAAAACAGAAAAAGTCATAGTAATGGACAATTTAATATTACAATTCTATTATCATTACATTACAAAATTCCTTGTAATTAATAATAGACACTAATGTCCAATAAATAATTTATAATTAGTATAATCAAGAAAATATAACATTTATATTAATATACATATGAAATAGTAAATATATCAGATAAATATAATAAAGAAATATAAAGTGATTATTTAAGTATTATGATTAAATTATAATTAACAAGACATCAGCATTCAATAATTAAAATATATGAATATAAATATTATAAATAAATTATTTAATTAGGAAATAAGAAAATGTAATATTATATTAATGTACAAATGTGATATTTAAATTAGAATTAAAACAGACACCAATGTTCAATAAATAAACAAAACAAAAACAGAAAAAGTCTAAGGTTTGTAATAGCATTAGGTAAATGACAGAATTTACATGTTTGGGTGAAGTCCCCCTAAAGTACATTGATGGTTGACCCTTCTAGCACAACTTGGTCAAACGAGGACAAGAAAAATGAAAACTAATCCGTCCTATTCAAAGCTGAAAAATGCATTATTCTCATCTCAGCGGAGAATAACTTGTCTGCAATGTTCCCATTTGTCGTGAGAAAATTACTTCAAGCTGAGAAAACGGTAAATGTGGAAATGCAAGGGAAAAAAGAACAGAACAAAGAAAAGTTGAACACAACTAACTTTTAAAAACATGTTGCTGTATTTGCAATGCAGTGCACATGAGGACACAATAAAACCATAATAAAGCAGAAAGGCACAATACCATTCCAGATTACTGACTGGGTGAGACACTGAGTTTGTTGACAAGGCTTGAACACCGTCAGCACCTATTTCAGTAGTCTATAGAGTCTAAGGGCTTGGTTTGCAACACGTCCCTGTCTGACACACACTTACAGATAGACTGAGTCTCTGTAATGGCTCTTGTGTTACCAGGAGGATCATTAGCTCGGATGCCAGTCCAACCGCTCTCAGCCAAATGTGGCGCTAATCTGGCAGTGACGCATGAATAATAACAATCATCAACACAGACACACCTGAGACAGAACTGTGCAGATCAGACGGCAAAAAACATTCAGCTGCAGGAGGAGAGAGACGCGGTCGAAGGGCTTGAGATGTGAATCTTTAAACATCAGTTGCATCAGCTGTTGGTAACAAGAGGAATGAAGGCTCTGTGCTGGCTGAATGATATCTAACGTTTAATGACAGCTTCCTCATCTTTGCTATCGTTTCGGCTACAGCCTTGTTGCTATGGCATCTCCATGGCAATTCTCTGAAGTTGCCATGTTGCAGTGTTTTTTTTTTTCTTTCTATTAAGCGGCATGCAAATGTTGAACATCCACCCACACCAGTATGCAGGGTTACACTGTTCCTTATATTAGAGTTTGCATTGTTACAGCTTGATGTGTACAGGAAGGTGAAATGAAAATGTCTTTATGATAGGTTAAAAAGCAAGATGTGAAAATTAATAATTAATATTATACAGTAGTGCACTCTGTTGTTTAGACCTGGAAGCTGATAATAATTTAGTATAATCTAATATATGAATTATATTAAATATATAAATACAAATAGAAAATACATTCTAATATAAAAAAATAATAATACTAATAATAAACATGATAACTAGAAATTATAATTCAATATTGTAATAAAATAAAAGTAAAATTCATAATAATTAATAATTATTTTGTGTTCCACAGAAGAAAAAGTCATAACGGTTCGGAACAAATAATAATTACCTGCAAATTCGGATAATTATTTGAACGTTTTGGGTGAACTATCCATTTAAAGTACACTGGTTGACCCCAGTGAAATAAAGGGGTCACAATCTGAGGTAGAAAATGCATTTTTCTCATCTCAGCGGAGAATGATGTACTTGTCGGCAATTTTCACATTTGTTGTGAGAAAATTACTTCAACTGGTAGAATGGTAGAAGTGCAAGAGAAAAAAAAGAACAGAGAACAAAGAAAAGTTGAAGATTAGCATTACAGTAGTGTAATTATTATTACACACTAGTGCACTATTTAGTCCTGGAAAAAAACACACTGATTCAGTAATTATTTTTTAATAAGTCACAGAAAAATTCTAAACTAACTCCAACCAATAACCTCCAAATTACAAGTCTGGGACCAACACACACGCACATACACACACACACACACATGCGCACACGCACACACACACACACAACTTTTTTACAACAAATTATATTAGCTGCATAACAACGAACTCCACAAGTTATTTTAAAACTGCTATTTATTTTTTGGTTTGTAAATGGTCACACTTCATGCTTTAAAGGAAAAAGCTGTTTACAATTAACTTCAGTTTATGCAAACAATATTTAATTTAGACTATGCTACCTGTAACTACTCCTCTTAAACGCAAAATGGTATAATGGTTCCACCCAACCAATCTAGTCCCATGTACTTATAAATACCAAGTATTGAGGAGCTGATAAGGAAAATGTGAATATTTGTTCACAAAAAAAGTGAAAATCTGCAACGATCTTAAAGGGACAGTTCACCCAAAAATGAAAATTGCCATTAATTACTCACCCTCATGTCATTCCAAAACCATAAGACCTTTGTTCATCTTTAGAACACAAATTAAGATATGAAATCTGAGAGCTTTCTGACCCTGCATTGACAGCAAGGCAACTTCCACGTTCAAGGCCCAGAAAGGTAGTAAGGACATCATTAAAACAGTCCATGTGACATCAGTGGTTCAACCTTAATTTTATAATTAATTATATTTTATTTCTTTATAGTAATTAATGACAGAATTGTATATATTTAAAGGGTGAACTATCCCTTTAAAATGGTCAAATATTGTGCCAGCATATTAGTTTAACACAAATATCACCACATAATGGAACTCTAAATTTACTAAGGTCCCCAACAACAGCATTTGACTTCCAGAAAGTGTAAGGAACCCAAAAATACATGAGCATCTTTTACTATGCAACACTAACCACTTCTACACCTGTGTTTGACCACATTTTCTAGCCTGGATCTTCTCATACTAACAGATATCCCCACAGACCAATGCTGGCGAAGTTCTCTTACACAAACACATTTTCTTATTCCTCCACCTACTCCGTTTTTTTTTCTCACACCCTATTCTCTTTTAGGTCAGTGTTTGATGCCGTCAGGCTCTTCCTTCCACATTAAATAAAAATGCCTCTTTGCCTGGAGGTTACATAAAAACACACACGTGTGAGGCACAGGCTGTCTGCAGGGCCCTGTGAACATGCAGTACAGTGGGGCAAAAAAGTATTTAGTCAGCCACCAATTGTGCAAGTTCTCCCACTTAAAAAGATGAGAGAGGCCTGTAATTTTCATCATAGGTATACCTCAACTATGAGAGACAAAATTAGAAAAAAAAAATCCAGAAAATCACATTGTAGGATTTTTAAAGAATTAATTGGTAAATTCCTCGGTAAAATAAGTATTTGGTCACCTACAAACAAGCAAGATTTCTGGCTCTCACAGACCTGTAACTTCTTCTTTAAGAGGCTCCTCTGTCCTCCACTCCTTACCTGTATTAATGGCATCTGTCTATTTCTTGCTTTTTAGTTTTCAGTTTAGTTTTAGTCCATTTTAATGATACCTCACGTTCTCACAAATTTCAGCACACGATGGCACATATTTTATCAGAGACGTCCCCAATGCTCATAATAATGCTATCAAAGTTTAAGGTTTAAGTTTTATGTGAAACACACAACACACCATACTGCAGTATACTTGTGCACAGTAAAATAATAAATGTGTCGCTGCTTCTGAATTTAACAGTAAATTTTCATTACCATTATTCTGATTTCTCAAAGGCATTTATAATTCAGCAGCATAGACTGGATTCACTAGAACAACTTGTTGCTGGATTAACCATAATTTAGGCAGTTTATGGAATAGAATTTGTGAAATATATTGAAGTTTTATTTGAGGCCATTTGGATCATGTACACTGAAAAATAAAACCATTGTAGAAGCTATTTTAATTCAGAAACTGATCATTATAAGGTTTTGGCAAGTAACAGTTACTTCAGAAATGTCGAAGTAGAAAAACCTAAATAGTATTTTCTTAAAAAACATACTCCAATCTTTTTTAATGATTTTTTTTTACAGTGTAAACAAGACAATTTCATATGTGGTGTCTCTTTAACTTTTCAAAAATACAGTGGCAGCATTAGCCGCAGTAAGCACTTCGGTTTATTATTCCATATTATTTCAGATTGATCTGCCCAAAAATGCCACATACAAAACAAAAAAGCCTGGAAGAATAATTTACTAAATCAGACTTGAAATTACAAAAACTAAAAAAAAAAAAAAAATGTAATTGTATTTAGCTTTTGTTCATATTATAGTGAATGTACTTAGATTTTCTTCTTTTACAAACTGCTATTTTGACTTGTCTGTAGTCAAAACTACTTTGAAACTGCAGCTTGCCAAACTACTCATTTAAAGTAGCTTTCCCAACACTGGTGTGACGTGTGAGTGACAGTTCTTGTACAGCACAGCTTATTTTTGAGTCTGTTTGCATCTGAAATTTCCCATTGGTTGTCTCCTCAACCTCTCTAGAGACCAAACAGAGAGTTTGTCATATTCGTTATTGCTATAAACTCATTCATCTGTTTCTGTCCAACAACAGGTTGTTCTCTAGGGCCTCTGAGGGCACAGCAGGTAACCAAGATCACAACATCTCTAAAACTTTGAAAGTTTAACACTTCTTCCTTTGCTTCTCATTTTATTTTGTGCTATTGTAAAACACCTTCAACTTTGAGGTCGTAATTTACAGTTTAAGACTGAAAAGCAAAGGTAGAAAGCTTTAAAAAGATAAATTAAGTTGTGCACTGGCTTATACGCATCCAATCTAGTGAGCAATGTCAACATTTATAGACTTGGAGTGCAATTACTTGTCAGCAGGGATAAAAAATTAGATACTACCACCCTCTGCTGGCACATATCCAGGGCGGCTGTGCAAATGAATGCAGGCAGACGTCCACGTGCATCCCTCTAAAATCTGTTGGCGGTTTGTCCAAGTCTTCAACGGGAATTGTTTTTTACCACCTCATACTGTAGCTGTGAATGTTTATCTCTTATGCCTAAAATTTCTCAAATACATCACTATTTTAAAGCTTGATCAAATTTAGAGCGGTAACCGATGACCTCAAGCGTCATATTATATTGCTTTTATAAAATGGCGGCAACAACAAATTTATAAAAGGACACCAAAAAAGTGAATATTAATCAGAAAAAAAATTATTTTGGACTAAGCAAACCTTTTCATAGTAGCTGACGTTCCTCTCTGCTGTGTCGACAAAGGCTGATCGTAGGTCAGTTCTCATGACCTTTTGCCAGCGGGTCCAGTCGCTTTTGAGTGCATTATTTGCCCACTCCAGCCGGTCCTCTGCCTTATCCAGATCATCTCTCATCTGAACACACAAGGATTGGTTGGTTAGCATGGTCCTGTTAGCTCTGCTGTTAGATGTCATAACTAGACCATAAGGGAAATAAACAGCTTCTTTCTCTATTGAAGGCCATTCACAAGTAGACAAGTATTCAGATAAAGGTTGTTATTAAGAAATATTTTTAAGATGGAAAAATGCGGTCAAGAGTTTTTCTGAATTTAGTAGTAGAAAGCGAGTCATCCAAATTTTAATATCAACTATGCATTCTGTTAGTTTTGTGAATTGGTATGTTTCATTTGGCCTCAAAGGAATGTCGAGAGACTATTGTCAGTGTAACTAGTTTCAGGTTTCTTAAAGGGGTCATATGATGCGATTTCAAGTTTTCCCTTCTCTTTGGAGTGTTACAAGCTCTTGGTGCATAAAGAAGATCTGTAAAGTTGCAAAGACTAAAGTCTCAAATCCAAAGAGAGATTCTTTTTAAAAGTTAAGAGTCAACCACGCCTACCTAAAACGGCTCTTTCCAACATGCCCCCACATATCTACCTCACTATGTGGAAATATTATCATAATGCCGCCCAAATGTGCACGCAAAGAAAGACGTTGTTTCAGGAACAGCAGCAGTGTTGAAGCAGCCATGTCAGGGAGACGCTGTGTTTCAGTGCGAAAGCAAAAGCACTTTATTTGGCCTTCCAGAAGTAGATGCAATTAGGAATCATTGGTTAAGATTTATTTACAACAGAACAGCACAACCCAGATGTTCGAATTTGTGCAACTTATTTTATGGAAGACAGTTTTTTGAACCTAGAAGAGTACAAGGCTGGCTGTGCACAAAGGCTATTTCAAAAAAATATATAAAAAAAATAAAAAGAGGGTCAATTCCGACTTGCTGTGACAATCTAGCGCTTCTGAATCAGCGACTGTAAGTATGTTTTGTTATTAGTTTAAGTATTTGCTATTGACTGTTCAAATGCAGAGTTTTGCGCAGCGCAGAGTAACGCGTTGTGTGTGCGTGTGAGGGGAACAGGGTCACATCACAGGAGAGTGAACTGCCTGTCAGAAATCATAGCACGTCAGCTGTCTTAACCGCGGCTTGTGTACTGCATCATCACTGTGTCTGTCACGCGACTATGTTGCCCTTTCAGACTTGAACTGATAGTAAAACTAACGACATTATTAACCGTCTTGATATTTACTTTGAAAGCTGAAGCGATTATGGTAAGGGGCGTTACATTTCCGACGCGTGCTTGTGGTATTTGGCCAATCACAATGCACTGGGTCAGCTGGCCAATCAGAGCAGACTGCGCTTGTCAACGGAGGGGGCTTTGTTGAAAATTTGAAAAATAATGTGTTTTTTGAACATTATAGCATATTCTGTTACACCAAATACACAAAATAATGATCTTTAAAATAGCATCATATGACCCCTTTAATTAAAGCTCCCAAGGGTAGCATGTACAGGATGAAAAGCAATGGTCCTAGTACTGAGCCTTGCAGTACTACATACTGAACTTGTGATCAATGACACCTATTCAGTGATAATGGTCAGATAAGTACGATTCGCAACATGCCAATACAATTCACCTAATGCCAACATAATTTTCAAGCCTATCCAAAAGATTACTGTGGTCAGTAGTGTCAAATTCAACATAAAGCTCCAGTAACACTAATAAAGAGATGCAACCACAGTCGGATGATATAAGCAAGTGAGCTGCTTTATGCTGTTCTTTTGAACTTTTTGAAATTCCAAATTTTGAAATATAATGGTTTCCACAAAAATATTAAGCAGCAAAACTGTTTTCAACATTGATAATAATAAGAAATGCAATAAAAGGTTGTTGTTATTTAGTCTATTTATTTATTTGTTGAAAATGTTATTTATTCTATTGAAAGGGCTGCATTTAACATATATTGCTAAGTACCAATCTAATTGGATCTGTGGTCTCAACCCTAAACCCGCCTAATTCTATAGGATTTCCTCAGACTCGTCGACTAATCCTTCAGATGACCTACTGACTAACCAATTTTGAAAATATGTAGTTTTGCGGATCCCTAATCCTGACCTGTGACTCATAGAGATGACAAGTCATGTAGCTCTGAATGGACAAGTTAAAACCACGATGCCACCACCAATATTATCAGAGTAGCTCTTCTGCCATCAGACTGCTGACGAACAGCCATTTTTAGAGTGTTGTAAAGACTTTCATTACAGAGGAGTATAACTCCTGTAAAATCCTGCTGAGCATGCAGGAATGAATTCGATATGCTGATATCAACTAGATCGGTTACTGTAATTAAGTTAATTTGTTTCTTGGCTCTCTGCAAGTTGTCTCGAAAATCTAACAGAGTTGCTTAAACAATGATGTTAAGCATATCTGACAGCTTTGAATCTGCTTTCAAACCAGACTATCATAATTGTCAGTTATTCATATTTACTCTGCCCCCAAATTTAGTGATCTGCCTCTGTACTGCCTATGCTACTTTTCAAAATCTTGAGGTTTGTAAGATTTTGTTCTTTCATTCAGCAAAGATGCATTAAATTGATAAAAATTAACAGTAAAATAAAACAATATAATGTTAGAAAAAAACTTTTATTTTAGATAAAGTTATTTTGAACTTTCTAATCATCAAAGTATTCTGAAGAAAAAAAAGTTTCCACTGTTTTGAACATTTATAATAATAAATATTTCTTAAGCACCAAATCAGCATATTATAGTGATTTCTGAAGATTGTAATGGCAGCTAAAAATTCCATCACAGGGATAAACTACATTTTAAAATATATTAAAATAGTTATTTTATAGCAATATTAGTTCACAGTATTACTGTTTTTACAGTTGTGATCAAATAAATGCAATTAAAATTAAAAGTAGATTTTGTAGCTGAATAGTAGTAAATCCCTCTAATTATTCCAGGGGTGTTGACAAACTTTCGGCCATATTGTGTATCTTTGCACAACACACAACAGCTTTCCAGTCACTGCGCAGCCTGTGATTGGCTCACAAGGTGACTGCTAACAACTCTATCATACTCTATTTAGTGCACAAGCTCTCTAGGGGTGAAAGCACATCCAGATGACACTCAGCAGTATACGTGTCTAAACATAGAGAGAGATGAACAGCAAACATGCCCAGTGATGTTTGGAAAGACATGCCTGTGGGAATGGTGGCATGTCAGATCAGTGGGCCAAGAATGAGAGGAACATTTAAGAAAGACAGAGTGAGCTGTTTATTGACAGGTAAGCTAATGAAGGTCAGAGGTAGCTGTCTTTTAGAGCTCCATCTCATTTCCATTGTAGCGTGTGTTCATGTGAATCAGATGTGAGGATGTCTTGTGGAACAGCAGCTGTGTTTGGTGAGTGGACGCATTGCTCTAAGGACGAGACGTTGTCTACAGCCGCGTCTCGCTTCTGACAAGCAGGCCAGATCATTAGTTCCGCTGATCTGATGTTGCTGTCACCCAAACACACACATTTATACACAAAGCCAAACAAAGTGACTCTAACATCCACTCTTAAAGAAATGAATGAATCATCTTGTGAGTCACATATTCAAGTTTGTTGACACTACTGAAGTAACTGGTTCATTTATTTAGACCTATTGGAGAGAGTTTTCCATAAATGGGATGATGATCTTCCATTTGTTTATAGTGACCTTTACTGCCCTCTACTGGACAGAAAGCACATGGCGGCATACTACAGTATTGTTCTCATTCATTTAGAGTGAAAGTAAACATATGACAGGAAATGATGTGGAAAAGAGAGAGCAGCAGGATGAGGAAGTGATGCAGACCAGGTTCGAACCCCATAACTCATGTATGAGAATCCTTGCTTTGTCTGGAGTATTTGTGCTAACTGCTAAAAACTCATAGTCTGCTAGCAAACATTATGACAGAAGCAAAAACAATGAGATTTGTATATTGCTTGTCCACGCAAAACTCTCCTATACAGTTCTGAGTGGTTGCCAGGGTGTTGCTATGTGGATACATTTTGAATAAGTCAAAAGAGCCCAATTTTAAGTCTCTATGAAATTATAACAAACCAAACTGGTAGTGAAAACTAAAATAAAAATGAAAACCTAAAACAAAAACTGAATTATTTGTTAAAATTAAAGTATTTTTGGTAACTCAAATAAAGATTAAGAACACAACTAGGAAAAAACAAAAATAAACTAAATTAAGTCAACTTTTGCAGCCCTAAAATAAGAAAATAAGAAAAAACTGTAAATAAAAAATGTAGGGATGCACCGATATGAAAATTTTGGCCGATACCGATAACCGATTATTCTTTATTTTTGAAAGCCGATAGCTGTAAAAATGAGGTAAACTGAAAAAAATAATAATAAATAAATAAGTCAACACATTTGGCAGTACTACAACTTACTCAAATTTAAATAAAGGAAAAATCTGGAAAAAAGTAACAATGACACTGTACAGTAAACTAAATTAAAAACTAACTGAAAAAAATTATTCAAGTTAACTCATTAACTCTGGCGGCCCTAAAATACTAAAATGTAAAATAAAAAGCTTAAAATAACAATGATGGGGTAAACTTCCAATCAATCAATCAATAATTTATTAACATGAATGCATTAACTTTGGCAGCCCTAAAATACTACAATTATAATAAAAAAAGGGGGTGGGGGAAATGCTCAATAAAATAACAATGATAGGTATATTTATATAGTAAATATTTTCCACATAATATTTTATACACAATTTCACACTTTTTTCCCCCACAGAATAAAATATCTTTATACATTTAAATATATAGCTGTATTTTAGGAAGCCCTTTTTAAAAAGTGTGGTCTGACTGCCATTTAACTAGTTTAAAAGTAACTTGTACCTTGACCAAAGTACAATTTTAAAGTAAGTTCCCTACTATTACATATTGTTTAGTAGTTATTTTATGCAAATTTTACACAATGATACACGGCAAAAAGTGGACACAAGCGTTTTTGCTAAGGACCATATTCAAATTCATTATATGGCTTATCGTGTCTTCTACACACTGGGAGTGAGTGAATCTGGAGCATACAATTCTTTGGATAAAAAAAAAAAAAAAGGAAAGAAAAATCAGGCCATTGGGGATACCTTCTCATTTTGGAAATGGCCTTTTGTAGTAAGCAGTGTAAGTCAGCAGGGACTGTGCTCAATCAAAGCACATAATTAAATTGACAAGAGTGCCGAGATGCTGCTAAGCTTCTCTGGACACCATTGGTACTTTGTCCATTAATGCCCTTTCAGAGCATTCAAGCATCCTGCCCCTGATATTTAATGGAATTGACAAAAATAAACTCAAACAGCCAAAGAGACTTAAATATGGCAATACTAGCTTGGGCAATATGAGTAATATTTGAAAGCGTCCCACTTCAAGAGTGGTCTGGCTTTAAGGGACATCTACAGCGATCTGGAGATAGTCGTATAATCTCTCCAAATTCCTTTTACAGCTTAAAACGCAGTGCTGTCTAATGAAAGCCAGGAAGACAGCTAGAGCTCGGTTTTATTAAAAATAATCTCCATGATTTTTCAAAGGAGCACTGGATGGATTACGTGGAGAACTGAAAGAGTCAATAATAGACCTACCGTGTCTCTGTCGGCCTTCTTCGTGGCAAGAGCTTCAGTCTTGGCTTCGAAATCTGCCTGGATGTTGTCTCGCCTCCTTAGTACTGCCTGAAAATCCATGATCGATACTCATGAAGTATGAAAATTGTGATCAATATATTTGAATGAAATTTAAGGCTGGATGAACTATGTAATAAGCCTCGGAAAAACATAACGCTGGCTGTGTTGATCTTAGCTTTGCATCAAGGTTTATATCAGACGGGATGACATGCAGCAAACATGATTTTTATACTAGCAGGTCATTTGCCTTGAACAAAATAGAACAGAACATTTTATTTAACCAAAACAAATGAATAACATTCTACACGTAAAGGGATAGTTCACTTAAAAACGAAAACTATGATGCCATTTACTCACCCTCACGTGTTCTGAACCATATGTGTTTTTATTTTCTATTCATTTATTTATTTTTTAAAGTAAAATACGATTTTTGAAAAATTTTCAAATAAATTCCTTCAGTAATGTTCAAAAGTTTGGGGTTGGTATGATTTTTTTTAATTTAGATTTTTTTTAAATTAAGTCTCTTATACTCACCAAGGCTGCATTTATTTGATTAAAAAAATGACAGTAAAATTTTGTGAAAAATTATTACAATTTAAAATAACAGTATTCCATTTGAATATATTTTAAAACAATTTATTCCTGTGATGCAAAGCTGAATTTTCAGCATCATTACTTCAGTCTTACATGATCCTTCAGAAATAATTTTAATATGCTGAACTGCTGCACAAGAAACATTTCTTATTAATATCAACATTGAAAACAGTTGTGCTGCTTAATATTTTTTGTTAAAAGCGTGATCATTTTTTTAATGATTATTTGACGAACAGAAAGTTCAAAATAACTGCATGTATTTGAAATAAAAATCTTTTGGAACATTATAAATGTCTCTACCATCACTCCTGATCAATTTAATGCATCATTGCTGAATAACGGTATTAATTTCTTTGGATTTTTTATTTTTTTTTGTGTTCTGCAAATGACAAAGTTATACAGGTTTGGAATTATATAAATGTGAAGAAATGATGACAGAATTAGAATTTTAGGGTGAACTATCCTTTTAAGAAAGACAAAACAGAAGCATCTTGTCACTCTACCTTGAGTGTGTCTGCGCAGAGGACGTACTCATGAAGGACTGGAATCAGCTGATCACTGAGATTCTTGACCTGCTCCTCTGTCTCCTTGCAGCATCTGTCCACACAGCCTGCCACGTTCTTCAGGGGCTCGGCCAGCTCCTCCTCTGATTGTGACCACAGCGCGTATGTCGGCCCACACTCCTTCAGCTCCTCCAGGTACTCTGTGACAACAACAGCAGCTGGTTTATGCAGCATATTCATAACCATAGCTATAGTCCATGCAAAAACATTTCCTTTAAGTGTCAACCAATTAAGAGATGAGAATTCACTGAAAAGTGTGTGAGTGAGAAAAAAATCCAACCCTTCTGCTCTCTGACGATCCTTTGAGTGACTTTATCAAGCGAGCTGATCTTCTGACTGAAGGCCTCCACGTACTCCTGCATTTCTGTGAACTCCTGAGGCCGGTTTCTGACCCCTCTGACCGCAGCAGCGACGGCTTTGACCGTATCCCCCATCCGGCTCAGAAACCCTGGACCTTGTTTCTTATGAGAGGTCAGCTCCTGCAGAGGATCATAGGAACGGTGGCATGATGTTACTGAAAATAGACTACAGCAAAATAATTCTCATCTCTACGTTTTAGTCAGCAAAAGCCTCTAATGGCTGAAAATGTGTGCATATTTTCATGGGCGGCCAGTAATGGCAACACTAGTGCAAATAGCTGATAAAACTGTAAGCGTGTATCATAGCAGCCTACGAAGCGTCAAATATCCATTACAGCAAAACGTCCTTTATTATGACTGAAGGGAAGTGAGGAGCTCTTTATAAAGTACTTATCTTAGAGGTCACTCAGCCGGGGCTAAACACAGAAACTGTCACATTATCTGCACACATTTAACATAATCCTCTTATAAAGCAAAACTGAGATCACATATAGTGAACACACAGAAGGTCAGTGATTATCACTGGGACTGTGTGTGTTTGTGTGTACAGGCAGGTTTTAATGTCCTTATTAGGAAGATAACAATGTCTCTGACAGACAAGCAAAACCTTCCAGTGGAACATTAACACGAGAAAAAAATGGTAATTATAATATAGCACTGCTACATGGTTGCTAAGATGTTCTGGGTGGTTGCTGGGTGATCACTTTCCAGTCCAAGTCAAAAACGCCCTGAGTTTGTATGATATTTTGGTTTCTAGATATGTTTTGGGATAAGTTATGCACCAGAGTTATACTTAAATACTTAAATTTTAATACTTAAAGTTTCATACCTGTACTGTACCTTTAAGTATTACAACAACATTAACTAGATTATACATTAACTAGATATAATAAAAGTAATGATCATTTTAAAAAATACATTTGATAAATGCATTAATAAATAGCAGAGAACTAAAAAAAATGAATGAATGAGAATGGATGAATAAAAATAAATATAGATAAATGAATCAAATAATAAATTACATTTATAAATAAATGAATTCTATGAAAGGTAAAACAATACAAATGCATACATACATTTATATACAATTTATACAAATAAACTATAAAATGTATAAAAATAGATAAATAAATAAAAATAAATAGATAATTAAAAATGAATGAATAAATAAATATGAAAATAAATGCTTAATGTATAAATCAACTGTATAAAATGTATCAACACGAGAAAAAAATGGTAATTATAATATAGCACTGCTACATGGTTGCTAAGATGTTCTGGGTGGTTGCTGGGTGATCACTTTCCAGTCCAGGTCAAAAACGCCCTGAGTTTGTATGATATTTTGGTTTCTAGATATGTTTTGGGATAAGTTATGCACCAGAGTTATACTTAAATACTTAAATTTTAATACTTAAAGTTTCATACCTGTACTGTACCTTTAAGTATTACAACAACATTAACTAGATTATACATTAACTAGATATAATAAAAGTAATGATCATTTTAAAAAATACATTTGATAAATGCATTAATAAATAGCAGAGAACTAAAAAAAATGAATGAATGAGAATGGATGAATAAAAATAAATATAGATAAATGAATCAAATAATAAATTACATTTATAAATAAATGAATTCTATGAAAGGTAAAACAATACAAATACATACATACATTTATATACAATTTATACAAATAAACTATAAAATGTATAAAAATAGATAAATACATAAAAATAAATAGATAATTAAAAACGAATGAATAAATAAATATGAAAATAAATGCTTAATGTATAAATCAACTGTATAAAATGTATAGGACAGATTTATAGATAACTAAATAAAAATTAATAAATTAGTAAATAAAATGTATAAATAAACTGCATTAAATGTACAAAAATAGATAACAGAATGAATGAATGAAATGTAATAAATAGGTAACTTAATCAAATTCCTAAATCAATCAATCAATCTTACCCCAGATGCTGCAGTGAGAAAGATCTTAAAATCCTCACTGCTGGAGAAAATGGGATGTTCTGCTATTTTGTTCAAAAACCTGTGCAGCGCCCTCCTCCTCGTCTCGATGAAATCTTCATTAAACCTCTCCACCATTCCTTTCACCACAAACTTCTCAGGCAGTGGCTGATGGGACGCAACCAAATCAATGTTTTATGAGAGTTTTAGCACACCACAACCAAAGACATTTTCAAATGGACAAGACCTTTAATTATTTTGACAGGGGATTGAAATGTCAAATTATGACACAAGTTTCAAATTTACAACAACTTTACAAGCATATTTCCATGGAAAAATTAATATTTCGACTCTCCTTATCCCATAAACTTCCATAATGTGTTCATTCTCCAGAATGTTTGACAAGCAGGAGACTCACACACTTCACCTACATGAACAATAAGCGTGGGATGAGCTTCTTCCAGACGTCCTTTTAACCACAGGAAGTCCTGGTATCGTCTTCGCACCTCAAACTCACTCGAGTCAAACTCGCTCCGTGTGGTCTGACGTGAGGGAGAATGATGGGAAAGATGAGAGAATTATTCACAGAATCTGACTTAGTGAGTTTGTGCTCAGATCAGTACCTTAGTCATAACCCGGTAGGTTATGTATGTCTCAATAGCTGTTACATGACTCTCTGGGTTATCGACTGTGACAAAAATATCTTTAGTGTCAGCATCTTCCTCAAACTTGTACTGGTTGATCATTGAAGCAGGGGAGGTCTGCATGGAGGCGTTGAAAGAGCTGCCGTCTGTTAGAGTCGTATCCTACACACACACAAAAAAAAATGTGCATCATGACACGTGAGGGACCAGCAACACTAAACAGCACAAGTGTTTATAGACTTCAAGCAAACAACACATGCACTTTATGTGTTTTCAACCAACTGGAAGTGGATTGGCTTGCAACAAACTTTGATCTATTACTGTAGTACAAAGCTCATAAAAATAATAATACCCTGGTATTCTTTAAAATATCTTGGAGAATCACAAATAAATAAATGAGCAACAAAAAATATATAAACTCATTTATAAATAAATGAATTCTATGAAAGGTAAAACAATACAAATACATACATACATTTATATACAATTTATACAAATAAACTATAAAATGTATAAAAATAGATAAATACATAAAAATAAATAGATAATTAAAAACGAATGAATAAATAAATATGAAAATAAATGCTTAATGTATAAATCAACTGTATAAAATGTATAGGACAGATTTATAGATAACTAAATAAAAATTAATAAATTAGTAAATAAAATGTATAAATAAACTGCATTAAATGTACAAAAATAGATAACAGAATGAATGAATGAAATGTAATAAATAGGTAACTTAATCAAATTCCTAAATCAATCAATCAATCTTACCCCAGATGCTGCAGTGAGAAAGATCTTAAAATCCTCACTGCTGGAGAAAATGGGATGTTCTGCTATTTTGTTCAAAAACCTGTGCAGCGCCCTCCTCCTCGTCTCGATGAAATCTTCATTAAACCTCTCCACCATTCCTTTCACCACAAACTTCTCAGGCAGTGGCTGATGGGACGCAACCAAATCAATGTTTTATGAGAGTTTTAGCACACCACAACCAAAGACATTTTCAAATGGACAAGACCTTTAATTATTTTGACAGGGGATTGAAATGTCAAATTATGACACAAGTTTCAAATTTACAACAACTTTACAAGCATATTTCCATGGAAAAATTAATATTTCGACTCTCCTTATCCCATAAACTTCCATAATGTGTTCATTCTCCAGAATGTTTGACAAGCAGGAGACTCACACACTTCACCTACATGAACAATAAGCGTGGGATGAGCTTCTTCCAGACGTCCTTTTAACCACAGGAAGTCCTGGTATCGTCTTCGCACCTCAAACTCACTCGAGTCAAACTCGCTCCGTGTGGTCTGACGTGAGGGAGAATGATGGGAAAGATGAGAGAATTATTCACAGAATCTGACTTAGTGAGTTTGTGCTCAGATCAGTACCTTAGTCATAACCCGGTAGGTTATGTATGTCTCAATAGCTGTTACATGACTCTCTGGGTTATCGACTGTGACAAAAATATCTTTAGTGTCAGCATCTTCCTCAAACTTGTACTGGTTGATCATTGAAGCAGGGGAGGTCTGCATGGAGGCGTTGAAAGAGCTGCCGTCTGTTAGAGTCGTATCCTACACACACACAAAAAAAAATGTGCATCATGACACGTGAGGGACCAGCAACACTAAACAGCACAAGTGTTTATAGACTTCAAGCAAACAACACATGCACTTTATGTGTTTTCAACCAACTGGAAGTGGATTGGCTTGCAACAAACTTTGATCTATTACTGTAGTACAAAGCTCATAAAAATAATAATACCCTGGTATTCTTTAAAATATCTTGGAGAATCACAAATAAATAAATGAGCAACAAAAAATATATAAACTCCATTTGTGGTCGTAAGATTTTTAAAATAAGTGCTTTATGCTCACCACCTCTGCATTTATTTAATAAAAATACAGTAAAACTGTAATATTGTGAAATATTCTAAGTCTTATATTTGAATATATTTTAATGTTATTTATTCCCGTGATGCAAAGTTGAATTTTCAGCATCATTACTCCAGTCTTCAGTGTCACATGAGCTTTCAGAAATCATTCTAATATGCTGATTTGCCGCTCAAGAAACATTATGTTGAGAACAGTTGTGCTACTTATTATATTTGTGAAAACCATGTCCATTTTTCAAATGTCAACAACATTTTTTTGAAAGTGAGAAGTGCTGTAAACGTGATTTGATCCAAAAATGTCTGCTTCTTGAGCTTAAAACCAAAGAAATTATGTTCCTTCAAGGCTCTTTTGATAATATGTGTACCTATATAAGTACCTATCTTCAGGCACGGCGCCAGAATTTTCTTCTCTCCCGGTGCTAAGGGGGGGCTAGACCAATATGTGGGGGTGCTAAGAAAATAAATGATATTGATGACGTCAGAGTAAACCGGGGCCATTCAAAATTCTGACGGGGCTATAGCCCCCCCTCCCCCAGCCCCGGTGTAGCGCCGTCACTGCCTATCTTAAACTTCATAATATATTTACTGAACCTAAAAAAAAAAAAATATTCTAAGTCTTATATTTGAATATATTTTAATGTTATTTATTCCCGTGATGCAAAGTTGAATTTTCAGCATCATTACTCCAGTCTTCAGTGTCACATGAGCTTTCAGAAATCATTCTAATATGCTGATTTGCCGCTCAAGAAACATTATGTTGAGAACAGTTGTGCTACTTATTATATTTGTGAAAACCATGTCCATTTTTCAAATGTCAACAACATTTTTTTGAAAGTGAGAAGTGCTGTAAACGTGATTTGATCCAAAAATGTCTGCTTCTTGAGCTTAAAACCAAAGAAATTATGTTCCTTCAAGGCTCTTTTGATAATATGTGTACCTATATAAGTACCTATCTTCAGGCACGGCGCCAGAATTTTCTTCTCTCCCGGTGCTAAGGGGGGACTAGACCAATATGTGGGGGTGCTAAGAAAATAAATGATATTGATGACGTCAGAGTAAACCGGGGCCATTCAAAATTCTGACGGGACTATAGCCCCCCCTCCCCCAGCCCCGGTGTAGCGCCGTCACTGCCTATCTTAAACTTCATAATATATTTACTGAACCTAAAAAAAAAAAATCAATAAACGATTCTGCTATTGTTACTAAGACACATAACCACAGTATCATACCATATCAGTGTATAACTGGACGTAATATTGCCATGAACTTGATTTGTGAGCTGTGTTTGTGAGAGACAAACATCTGATTTTCCTACTGTTTTGCTATCTTTTCCTGGTCCAAACACTGATCCATGCAAATCCCTTTCGTTTAGCCGCAGCTGCTGGGAAAGAAGCCTGGGCGTGTTTCCTGTCATAACAAACTGGCCTGTAGTCAGCACAAACTGCACTGCTGCTTTACCCAACAAACACTGCACTTCCATTCATAACCATTCACTGCTGATACTGACAACAACACCAACAGTTAGAGAGCAGTAGAAACACTCCAACTACAAATGAACGTTCGTCAAGAATAACTTTGATGTCAGACTGACAAAGCTTAATCTGAATGTTTAAAAGAGTTTAGAGATCACATCTGAGTGGTTGCTAGGGCATTCTAACTACTGAGAACTGTTACGGTGTTCTGCCCGGTTGTTATGGTGTTCTAACTGTTGCTGGGAATTGTTTGGGTGTTCTGCCTATTTGTTAGGGTGTTCTAACTGTTGCTAGGCATTGCTAGGATGTTCTGCCTAGTTGTTAGGGTGTTTGAACTGTTGTTAGGCATTGCTAGGGTGCTCTAACTGCTTGCTGAGAACTTTTAAGGTGTTCTGCTTAATTGTTATGGTGTTCTAACTGTTGCTAGGGTGTTCTAACAATTTATAGGCATTGCTAAGGTGTTCTAACTTTTGTTAGACCTTGCTAGGGTGTTCTGCCTAGATGCTAGCTAGGGTGTTCTAACTGCTTGCTGAGACTTTTAGGGTGTTCTGCTTAGTTGCTAGGGTGTTCTAACTGCTTGCTGAGAATTGTTAGGGTGTTCTGTTTAGTTGCTAGGGTATTAACACTTGTTGGGTGTTGCTATGGTGTTTGCTAGGAATTGTAAGGGTGTTCTGCCTAGTTTCTAGGGTGTTCGAACTGTTGCTAGGTCTTATTATGGTGTTCTAACTGTTGTTATGGTGTTCTTATAGCTTGCTGGGAATTGTTAGGGTATTCTGGCTGGCTGCTGCTATGGTGTTTGCTAGGAATTATAAGGGTGTTCTGCCTAGTTTCTAGGGTGTTCGAACTGTTGCTAAGTGTTATTATGGTGTTCCAACTGTTGTTATGGTGTTCTTATAGCTTGCTGGGAATTGTTAGGGTATTCTGGCTGGCTGCTGCTATGGTGTTTGCTAGGAATTATAAGGGTGTTCTGCCTAGTTTCTAGGGTGTTCGAACTGTTGCTAAGTGTTATTATGGTGTTCCAACTGTTGTTATGGTGTTCTTATAGCTTGCTGGGAATTGTTAGGGTATTCTGGCTGGCTGCTAGGTGTTAGGGTGTTTTAACTGTTACTAGATGTTGCTACTGTGGTCTAACTGTTGCCAGGCATCGCTAGGGTGTTGTAACTGCGAATTGTAAGGGAGTTCTGCCTAGTTGACTGACTGCTAGTGCTCTACTGACCGACAGACAGACAACCATACATATTGATATTGAATTATTGTCCAGCCCTACCTTCAAGGCTCTTTTGATAATATGTGTACCTATATAAGTACCTATCTTCAGGCACGGCGCCAGAATTTTCTTCTCTCCCGGTGCTAAGGGGGGGCTAGACCAATATGTGGGGGTGCTAAGAAAATAAATGATATTGATGACGTCAGAGTAAACCGGGGCCATTCAAAATTCTGACGGGGCTATAGCCCCCCCTCCCCCAGCCCCGGTGTAGCGCCGTCACTGCCTATCTTAAACTTCATAATATATTTACTGAACCTAAAAAAAAAAATCAATAAACGATTCTGCTATTGTTACTAAGCCACATAACCACAGTATCATACCATAACAGTGTATCATTATAACTGGACGTAATATTGCCATGAACTTGATTTGTGAGCTGTGTTTGTGAGAGACAAACATCTGATTTTCCTACTGTTTTGCTATCTTTTCCTGGTCCAAACACTGATGCATGCAAATCCCTTTCGTTTAGCCGCAGCTGCTGGGAAAGAAGCCTGGGCGTGTTTCCTGTCATAACAAACTGGCCTGTAGTCAGCACAAACTGCACTGCTGCTTTACCCAACAAACACTGCACTTCCATTCATAACCATTCACTGCTGATACTGACAACAACACCAACAGTTAGAGAGCAGTAGAAACACTCCAACTACAAATGAACGTTCGTCAAGAATAACTTTGATGTCAGACTGACAAAGCTTAATCTGAATGTTTAAAAGAGTTTAGAGATCACATCTGAGTGGTTGCTAGGGCATTCTAACTACTGAGAACTGTTAGGGTGTTCTGCCCGGTTGTTATGGTGTTCTAACTGTTGCTGGGAATTGTTTGGGTGTTCTGCCTATTTGTTAGGGTGTTCTAACTGTTGCTAGGCATTGCTAGGATGTTCTGCCTAGTTGTTAGGGTGTTTGAACTGTTGTTAGGCATTGCTAGGGTGCTCTAACTGCTTGCTGAGAACTTTTAAGGTGTTCTGCTTAATTGTTATGGTGTTCTAACTGTTGCTAGGGTGTTCTAACAATTTATAGGCATTGCTAAGGTGTTCTAACTTTTGTTAGACCTTGCTAGGGTGTTCTGCCTAGATGCTAGCTAGGGTGTTCTAACTGCTTGCTGAGACTTTTAGGGTGTTCTGCTTAGTTGCTAGGGTGTTCTAACTGCTTGCTGAGAATTGTTAGGGTGTTCTGTTTAGTTGCTAGGGTATTAACACTTGTTGGGTGTTGCTATGGTGTTTGCTAGGAATTGTAAGGGTGTTCTGCCTAGTTTCTAGGGTGTTCGAACTGTTGCTAGGTCTTATTATGGTGTTCTAACTGTTGTTATGGTGTTCTTATAGCTTGCTGGGAATTGTTAGGGTATTCTGGCTGGCTGCTGCTATGGTGTTTGCTAGGAATTATAAGGGTGTTCTGCCTAGTTTCTAGGGTGTTCGAACTGTTGCTAAGTGTTATTATGGTGTTCCAACTGTTGTTATGGTGTTCTTATAGCTTGCTGGGAATTGTTAGGGTATTCTGGCTGGCTGCTAGGTGTTAGGGTGTTTTAACTGTTACTAGATGTTGCTACTGTGGTCTAACTGTTGCCAGGCATCGCTAGGGTGTTGTAACTGCGAATTGTAAGGGAGTTCTGCCTAGTTGACTGACTGCTAGTGCTCTACTGACCGACAGACAGACAACCTAAATAACATGTTCGCGACAGTGAGACAGACAGGTAAACTCAAATAACAGAGGTGTTCGCATCTATAGGCTACTGAGCTGATCCATGAGATTCTGACTATTTAAAACTAATCATCTTGCATCAAATGACGAGGTCTACAGAAAGTACAACAGTAAAAACTCAGAAGTGGAAAAAAATGCATTGCATGGCAGCGCCTGATCGCTGACCTTTGGAACTTCAGATCACAGCAAAACACCAAGATTTAAGTGAAACGTTGAGATTTCTACGCCATTGATTATGTAGAATCAAAAGATATCAACACTGATGTGTCGGTTTCACACAACCGATCGAACAGCCTTCGGTGGGTATCAGTTGAAACCAGTTGATTATAAATTACCTTACTGAAAACTTCCAAGTCATCGTCTTCGTCTAGATCTAATATTTGCCCGCTGATGTCTGTCGGAATCGCAGCCGAAGAATTGCCCGATGACACGGTGTTGTCGACAACAGATCCACTCATCGTTGCTCAAATCGCTACTTTGTTACAAGTTTTCTGGACTTCATCGGTTTTTCCGCACAACTCTCAAAAGCTCAGCCGAGGGCGGATCAGACTTAACTGCGCAGAATCGGAAAGGGCCGAGAGTTGAGCTTTGAGGGACGCCCACGTGAAGGAGCGTGTTTACGGTATTTGGCTTGATGTTATGGTTGGTTTCTGGCCAACAGATCTTGCCTTTAAAGGTTATTCAGTTTTGAACTGTGAAATAATAGTGATTAACATCAAATTAGTGTTTTAAAAGTTTAAAAGGCTTATACATGTGTTTGTGTGTTGCATAATTCTTAACGCACTTTGGGTATGAAACTCTGTGATTATGGGTTTTGGAGTCAAGTTTGTAACCTAAGATTACTAATACGTGTGTAAACTAACATTTACATGGATTTTAGATGTGGCCATGTTGCTATTTAACAGTAAAAACCTAGTTTCATTTAATGTACTATTTGTATAGGCTACTACAAAATGTACAGTATATTCTATAAAAACTGAAGTAATAACACAAATATATATTTAAATAGTAAAGAGTATATAATCATGTTTAATATTTCATAATAAATACGTTATACATTGTTAATCACTGTAGTCTATATATTCAAGTACTGTGTAAATGCCTTGAAATATCAAGTTAAATTAAATTCCCCTTCATTGATATCAGTATTTAATGCATCACCATCAGCTGTATTTCAGTTTGGGGTTTGTAGAACTAGCACTGAATTCCTGCTATGTCCTTTTCCAACCAGCAGATGCTACTGTTGCTCAATTTAAAGGCCTTTGCAATGTGGCACATCTCATAATTAAGACTTCATATGACAGTGGCAATTACAGTTCTATATAGCTGTGCAAACACTCAACTATTTTGCTGTGTGAGACTGTATTATGGGACAAAATCGGGCATATCTAATAAGAGACTTATTAGGAAACATCTAATTGGGGACATGCCAGTCAGACTATATTAAATTTAAGTACTTATCATGAGACCGCTCTAGTCATTAATATAAAATATTCGGCCACAGAATTCCTCATTAGTTGTCAGTTATTTCATTTATTTAATCAAATAAAGACCATCCCCTTGCATATAATGAATGTAGGACTTGATCATATTTCTTTGAATTTGGACTTCAACCATTATATTATCATAAATTATAATGCTTTACATTCTTTAATTGAGTGAAAATCATGCTAGATATCGCTTTTTATATATTATATTACATTATTTTGGTATGAAACTAAATCAAGAGTTATTCTATAGCATGCATCAGGATATAATAATACTGTTTCAAAGCTGAATCCCTTCTGCATACGAACTCTCTGAAATCTTGCATAGATTGCATTATAAAGCATATAAAGTATAAGAATATCTGTAGAAAGGGCAGGCCTTATGCATGCCTGAACCAGGCAGCTGTAGCTCTAAGCACAGAAAAGGTCAGCCCCACCCCGATCACATTAGTGTACTGCCATTTTATATCATTTGCTTTCATAACTGATTTAAAGCTGAATCTATAGGACCCTTTTTTCTCATTTTGATGTGTGCCGATCAAAGACTTTCATAACCGTGTCACAATATCACACCGTATGATGTATGAGTTGCTGTGGAACAATCTTTATTTAGCCGTTGCAGTGAGAATATTCAATGCACGCTATTAATTAAAACTGTTTTTAATGTAAATGATAAATAGCCTGTTGGAAAGTAATTTGTAAGGCAGAATATAGGGAATGTGTTATATAATATGCTACTGATATAACCTCATTAGATCAAATTCAGTGCAGACCACACCCATTCTGACTTGCTAGTCATCATGGCTAAATCACACAGAGATGTGTACTTCACAGAACGCACCATATATATATAGTGTTTTGTGCGACTGAACGACATCCTGGCATCCTGCACAAATTTGTGGCACGGTCCCAAATCCTTCCTCTACCGGCAGATAATAATTACATCAGCATTACCCCACAACAATGGCATACATAGATCAGCTCCTTTCAAATTACATTTCCTTCCTGTTGGGCCCATTAGCGATGTCGACCAGACCATGTTTTATTTATTTTTTTCTTTAAAAATCCACTATTGCCGTTGTTTCTGAGTGCATTTGCCGCAGAGAATTTCGACAGTTCTGTTAAAACCCCATTGGATGTCCCTTAGATGTAGAATAGGCTTGATTTGGGAGAACCGCTTGCTAATCTGCAGCGTGCCATAATAAACTGTGTTTTGGCAGGAGGAAAAGCCTTCACATAAAGCACACAAAACATCAGATAGAGAAGACTTGAGCCACCTGGAGTGAATGCAGAAGAAGACAATTAAAAATCAATTTACTGTCAAAAAAGCTTTGCTTTCTAATTAAATCCGCACACAGCCGAGTCTCTCTCGATGCTGGCTGATGCACAGTTGCAAAGCACACATTTATTTATTTATTACCCCCCAGACGGGTGCAATAGTTATCGCTTTTACGATATTCGCTCTTTTTTTTCGAATCTCTGTTTGAAACACTAAATTCTGACGAGGACCATTATACCTTATTTCATATGGTTGTAATCAGGCCTCTAAATGCATTTTAAATGTGACTGCTGTTCAATACCTACCAGGTGTCCAATCCAACAACTGCGCCGTCATGATCGCTCTCATTAGCAACTATTACGTGTCGTAATAATGGTTATTCATTATAAGGCACTTCTTTTGTTTGTGGCCAAGCAGCTGGACACTACTTTGTCTTTTAATTCATCTATTAAAATGCCTTTAAAAGGTTCAACTTACTCTGCAGATCTGCATGATTTCAAAAAGGTTTTAATGGGTCTTTGAGGAATGCAAATAAATAGTATGGAGTTAAATGGATTTTTATTTATCCCTATCAGCTGACGTTGACGTCACCGCTCTGGATTTTTGCTAGTGAAGGGTCTGGAACTGTATGTGTTCTTGCAATGACATTTTCGACTCAGAAATGCTCACAACTGAGCAAAGATGACCGCAGACATCCTGTGCCAGCCATAAAACTGCGATTGAGATGAACAGCAATGCCATTTCTCCAGGCCCACTGAAACAAAAATTGGTGGTGAAACTATTTTCGCTCAGAAATTGCTAGTAAATTTCACCAAAAATCACAAAGAAATGGCAAGTAACACAGTGAATTGACTGAAATAGCATTTTCTTGTATGGAGTTTTATTTACAACTTTGAAAAATCACTTTCTCAGTGTATTATAGACCTCCTGGATGTGGTGTTTGACGGAAGGCCATTTCTAATTGCACTCAACAAAAAGCTCTGGAGGCTTACTGCGCTAAGAGCATGTAATCTGCGGATGTGTTTGGAGCCTTCTGAGATTTTTTGTATTATTTTATTGACCAGAATTCTCTTTGAGTCAACAGGTGGATCCATAGCACTAAAAATGTCCATTTACACAGCACTTTTTTTGGCTCCCTGAAGCACTTCTCATTTCTGACGTCGTTAGGCTGTAACCGCACACATCCAGGGCTCTGGAGCATGTGCGGAACTCCATCACAGACTTAATGACTGCCAGTGGAGCCACAGCACTGCCCTTCCCTTCTCCGAAATGTCCCACAATAACCCGCTTTAATGGCACAATCTAATTAAAATAATAATAATAATAATCTTGAACTTTCAGTATGTAGACCTCTAACCTGTGAAATCTAATTAAGTCTCAGTCACAAACAAACAAAAAAAGGCATTACTAATCAATCAGCCAGAAAGAAGATAAATTAGAGGAGGGGCACATGAGATACAGGGCTGAGAGGGGGAGATAAGCAGAGGTGAAAACAAGCGCAAGTGCGTTCAGCACAATTCTAAATCACAGCGGCGAACACACGCCAAGAAAAAGGTGTGGCCGCTTTTCAATGCATTCATTGTTCATGTCCATTTTTAACTAATGTGAAGTCTAGTATTTTAAAGGACCCCTAATGCAAGGGCTTCCAAACTTCTCAAAAGAGACTATTCAAACAATAAAAAAAGTTTTCTTTTAATCCTCTAAATGGTAAAAGTTTTTTGGTTTCGTAATTAAATTTCATTATGAGTTCATTTGTAAATTGTTGTATGTTATTGAAGCTGTGGCCTAGTTGTTAGCGTCACTGCTCATATGGTTCAAATATATTCCAATCATGTTCTCAATATTTAAAAATGTATTATTATTATTAAGCTCTGTATTATTTTATTGTTATGGACTTTTATTATTATTATCTTAAGCTACTTTTAATGATACAGTTGTTAAGCTTGTGTTATTGCAAGCTAATATTTATTTATTTATTTAGGACCATTTTATGGAATTTATGGACCATTTAATAACAATAATAATGACGATGATGATAATAATAATAATAATTATTATTATCATTGTTATTATTAAATACATACATGCATGCATACATTCATAGTACAAGCTTTAAATCATCATTAGCTTTGTACATTTTGCTTGGAAGATAATTTATAAATTTTTATCACTTTTAATATTAGATTTGTTCAGCTTTGCATTATTTATTTGTTTCATTGTTATGGACCATTTTTAACAAGAACAATAACAACAACAACAACTATTATTATTATCAAAATTTGTAAATAAATTAAAGAATTAATAAATAGTACAAGCTCTGAAAGTTTTAGTCTATTTTTTTATTTTTTTGGAAGAGAATTCATACATTTAAACATTAGCATATATTAGCATAGAGATGACCTCAATGCTCATAAACATGGACTAAAAGTCACCAAACCTTAATATTTAATGGGTTCTTTGAGCAACGTGTGCTTTGAAATATAAAAGAATATCTTTAGACATATGCAGTGCTCATCCAGAGTGCCAGATTGCGCTTAAGTCTTGTTTTAGCATCTAACAGAAATCTGGGGTCAGGAGATACAGATAGATGGCTCTAAACAGATGGGGGATGGTCTGCATATAAATATAGCCAGACACAGCATTCATCTGATTTCAATGATTAGGGTTGCAGCTGCAACATCATCATCCCACTGCCAACACCTCCACATACTATCCCTCTCACTTCAGCCCAGCTCAATATGTTTCATCAATAACCACCACATTACTTCAGTGTCTCTGCCATAATGATGATCACAATCTCTTTGAGATGCTTCATCATGTCCTCAAATGCATTGCCAGTATTAGCATTGT